GCTTCTGGGTCTCTTTAAAAAGCAGCGCCCCGGGAGGGCCAGATTGGCACTCACGTGACTCGGCGCCGCTGGCTCGCAGCTTGCGGAAGTGCCCTTGCCTTCGCGGTGGACGCCGGCCTGCAGTCGGCGGCGGGGTGTGAGTCCGCAGCCGGGCGCCGAGATGGTGCAGCTGTACAACCTGCACCCGTTCGGGTCGCAGCAGGTGGTGCCTTGCAAACAGGAACCCGAACGTTTCTGCGGCGGGGGGCGGGACGCGCTGTTCGTGGCGGCGGGCTGCAAGGTGGAGGCGTTCGCGGTGGTTGGCCAGGAGCTGTGCCAGCCGAGGTGTGCCTTCTCCACGCCGGGCCGGGTGCTGCGCCTGGCCTACAGCGAGGCGGGTGAGTGGCGGTGGCGGCGGCGCGGGCTTCCTAGGGAGGGACGAGTCGGAGGCCACGCCCGCACTGTCCCCGATCACTGGGATGGATGCCCAGCGCTGCTCCGTTTTCCAGGTGTGAGCCTGCTCTTCCAGCGGTGCCACATCCCGAACCATCTCCGGAGAGGCCTGTCGCCGATTTACACTCGCATCTGACGTCTCCTTCCTCCCTTCTTCCCCTCCCCCCTTTCTCTTTTGGTACGGAAGCTTCAAACTTAAAGAAGTAGGAGTGGACATTGTCTTAGAGAGCCCCAGGCACACCCATCTTCAACAATAATCCCAGCTGCCAGACACCCCCTTTTCAGCGGTGCCTCCACTTCTGTCGGTTTTTGAAAGCTCACCCATCCTGACTTGTAAATCTGGCAGTTGGTATTCATCTCCTCGACTGCCCTCCCTCCCTCTTTTTAGAGAACTGCTACCTGCAAAGTTAGCAGCTCAAAACCACCAGACCACCCCTGGGAGAAAGTCGAGACTTTCTACCCCTGTGAGGATCTACAGCCCCAGAAACCAGCAAGGGCAGTTCTACTCTGTCTTGTAGGGTCACTGTGCTTAGGAATCAACCCTACAACAGTGAGATTTTTTTTTTTGAGGATCACTAAAAAACTAGGGCTACAGTCTATCATTAGATGGTGTCTGACCTTCATTTTGTCAATCAAGTTTTGTTTCTAATGTGTTATTCTACTGTTTTCATGTACTGTGTTACTATCACCGTTGTTTGTAAAAGTAAAACACTGCCGCAGACCTTCGACCTTTTGGCTGTCTGAGCGACTGACTGTTGTTGTCAGTTTTTCTTTCTGACTACTTAAGATGCTCAGCCGCGCTTGCACTGGTCAGTCCATTAATCTGTTTGAAAGCCACTCTGTCTCTACCTTCCCTTCCAGGCACAGTTCAGCTCTAGGATCTGCATTTAAATTGCGATTGCCCGTGGAATGATCCTGATTTCGGCATTTCTTATGAAATCCACCTTCTCTGGTTATCCATTTCACCTTATTGGTATTATTATTATTTATCATTTTGCTGCCTTTTCACCTATGAGGTACAGGAGTTTTCATGTTTAAGATCTCTGTGGATTGACAGTCTCACCAGATTCAACTTGTGTGTGCATGCGTGTGTGTTGAAGTGTGTGAGAGAGAGATTCATTATATTGACATGATTTTCCCTGGTTCTCCTAAGTCGGATGCTGTACGAGGAAATTGCAGGATTTAGGTGACCCATTTACTTCCTTGCCTGTCGGGCGGGGGTGATTCTGGGCTCCTTGGATTGTCACTGCCGGGAGATCTTTAAAAATACACTAACAGTGTCAGTTGCTTCCACCATTGGGAAGTCTAGTGTTCAGCCAGGAGTGAGCTCTGCTAAGAGTCACCACAGCTGCAGGAAGCCGTGAGGAGTGTGGGCACATCGCTAATGAACCCTTGAACAAAGCTGCTTTTATAATCTAGTTGGCTGCCTTTAAAAAAGGCCGGGTCATGTGCAATGGCATTAGTGTGGGTCATGTAGCTCAAGGGTAGCTTTCAGTCTGTAGCTTAGTCTCTGTAGGTACAGTTTCTGTGTATCCTTACATGGCTGAGCCTAGAGGACAGGCTCTGGGCTATACTGAGGTCAAATTTCCCCTTCTAATCCTTTCCTCCCTCTCATGTTCAGTGCCCAGTGTCTTTCTCCTCTGTAACAACCTCTGCCCATCAAAACTAAAATGAATCTCAGGCCAACCATTTCCATCTATGATGAATGACTTGTCGGACTCCTAGCCAAGCAGAGAGTCTTTTCAATTTTCAATCTGTCCATTAGTAGAGCGTTTTTCTTTACATTTTGGCATAGACACATCTGTCTGTGTTTTCCAGACAAAGATAACCAATAGGACACTTACATGCCACGCAGGTGCCTGTTATATTTACATGTCTACCTATCTTTCCACCCGTCTGTCAGCCTGCACGCTGGTGGCTTGCATGTTGCTATGATGCTGGAAGCTATGCTACCTGTCATCTGTTTGTGGGCAGATGCTTTAGAATTCTTCATTCGGTATATACCCCTTCTTAGTCTCGGAACACAAACAAAACGCAGATCCTTCAAAAAGTCACCACATAGCCTCAAGTGTGGTAGATTACTGAGTGCTGAAAATGCCAGGATTGACCATCATTCCCGGGATGCATTTCTCTTTCCCCATGTGTGCTTGCCACCAGTATATACTGGAATTCAGTATAGGAACTACAGCATTTCAATTCTAACTCACGGGGAAAGGGCTGGTTTATCTCATCGTGGTTTTGCTGTTGGAAACTAAAGGTAGATATTTGACTTAAACCTGCCTCTCTCCTGCCCCATTTTCAAAATTAAATGAAAACTGCCCACTAAAAGAAGGGTATATAGAAGAATATTTATGTAACTGGCAGACATGGGAGACTACTTGAGCAAGAAGGAAACTCAGAAGCCAAGAATGCCGCCCAGATGCATACTCTTCTACATAAAAATTGAATGGTAAAAGAAGCCATAAGCAAAATCAAACAACAGACAACAAAAAACGATTTGATATGCACAGCCACCGAAGGGTTAATGTCTCTTTTCTGAAGAGAGCTTCTCATGAAAAAGAAATAAAAATTGAATAATCTAATACAAAATGGGTAACTTCTGGGACGAAAACTGACATGACTCATAATCATAGAAAAAGATGATCCAAGGTATGGGTACTCAGGAATTTAAATGCTAATAGTCACGCAAGTCCCTTTTTACCTCCATCACTCAGAGTCAGCGCAGTGAGAATGTGGAGAAACAGGTTTGTTCAGATAGTGCTGCTGGTAGCATAAATACCTAGTTTCTACTCACATATAAGGCAAGTTTTTCAGCACATTTTTAATGCAGTCTTTGTGGTCAAACTAGGTGCCTTGGCTAATACTCAGGTTGGCTTTTATATGAGTACATATGGTACCACCTCGGAAACCCGCAGGGGCTGTTCTTCTCTGGGCTGTAGGGTTGCTGTGATTGGAATTGACTCATGGAGTTTTGAGTTTGCGTTACAACAGAAGCAGTGCTAGCCGTCATCTCACAACTTTGGACCTGTTTGAAAAGGACCAGTCTCTGGGGAAAGACATCATGCTTGGCAACGTAGAAGGTCAGTAAGGATCCTCGGTGAGAGCCTTTAATCTGCTGACCGCAAGCATGGGCTCAAGGTAGCTGTGTTTGTGAGAATGGTGCAGGGCCGGGCATGGGTTTGTGCGTAGGGTCGCCATGAGTCAAACGCAACTTAATGACGACAACAACAACAGCAATTAGATTAGTAATGTGGTAGTGGCGATGAAAATTTAAAATGCACCTGCCCTTCCACCCAGCAAGGTTGGTGATTCAAATCCACCCGCTGTTGCTTAGGAACGAGATGTGGTATCTGTTCCCCTAAAGAGTTACAGCCTTGGACCCCTACATAGGGTCTCTAGGAGTGAAAGTGGACTCAATGGCAGCGAGTTTGGCTTTTGATTGGGCCTGGATGCCATTGGAAGAGCCTGCGGGGCTGTGAATGAAATACGGCTCTTCTAGCCATCGTCTTTAGAAAAATTCAAACAAAACAAAACTCACCGCCATTGGGTTGATGCCAACAATGAGTTTGGCCGCTAACTGCAAAGTCAATAGTTTGAAACCACCAGCCGCTCCATAGGGGATTTCTACGACCATAGTCTCGGAAACACACAGGGGCAGTTCTGCTCTGTCCTACAGGTTCAGTGTGAGATAATAGTCATAGAACGCTCCATCAGTAGTTGTTGTTGTTGGTGGTGGTGGTAGGTGCCTTGGAGTTTGCTCTGACCCCAGGTGACCTTGTGTACAACAGTGACCTTGTGAAACACGACCTGGTGCTCCTGCACCATCCTCACAATTGTTAGGTTTAAGTCCATTGTTGCAACCTCTGTGTCCTTCCATCTGTGGAGGGGGCGTCCTCTTTTGCGCTGACCGATGACGGTACTTTTACAAGCATGCTGCTCTGTTTCCACCGACTGGTCTCTCCTAGTAATAGGTCCGAAGTGTCTGAGACACAGACGTCATCCTTGCTTTACAGTAGCCGTCTGGCTGCCCTTCTCTGAGACAAGTTTGTGTGTTCTTTTGTCAGGCAGCCCGTGGTACTGGCAATTCTTTGCCAAGGCCGCGATTCAAGTCTATCAATTTTTCTGCAGTCTTCCCTGTTCATGGGCTAGATTTCACACGTATATGGTGCATTAGAAAAGACCCTGGCCTAAGTCAGGCACACCTTCGTCTTCAAAGGGATGTCTTTTACGCTTGAAAAAAGCCTTGTGCTACAGGTTTGCCCGATGCTCTGTCTTGTTTGGTTTCTTGACTGCACTTCCCTCAGCCCTGATCGTGGGTTCAGGTAAACTGAAGTCCTTCTTTTCTCTGCTTATCCTGCTGCTACTTACTGGCCCCCTGGTGAGGGGTTTTGTTTTCCTTTACATCGAGGTGTATGTAATCCATACTGCAGACGACAGTAGGCTCTCGTCCTCATCAGCAAGTGTGTCAACGTCTCCTGGCTTTCAGCCAGAAGCTCGTGCCATGGACATATTGCAGGAGGTTAATCACCCGTCCTCACACCCCGATGCTAAGGTCTTCATGTAGGCCAGCGTCTCAGATTCGGTGCTCAGCAGACGGGTTGAATCAGCAAGGTGAGAGGGCACAGCCCTGACGCCCCGCCCACCTGTCCTAATTTTGGAGCCATGCCGGGTCTGCACGTTCTGTTCAGGTGACGGTGCAGAGGAAACATGAGCACATGGAGTGTTCTGAAATCCCCATTCTTGGCAATATTATCCCCAAATGGTTACGATCCTGTGAAGAATGCCTTTGTGTAGTTAATGAAACACAAGTAGAAATCTTGCTACTCTTCTATGCTCTCAGCTGAGATCCATCTAACCAGGAAGGACTATGCAAATAGGCGATGCTTGTGGCCCACCAAGAGGATCTACTAGTTTGCCAATCATATAAATCAGGTACATGCACCCATTGTGGGTTGGGAGCCTGCATGTAAGACGTAGGGGCATTGTTCAATTTTGCCCTCCTGCTAGGCATAAATGGGTCATCTCCGAGAAGGAAAAAAGGGATCTCCCTACGATCAAGACAGAAAAGCCAGCGATGGAGTATATCCTTTAGATCCGAGATCTTCCTTGGTCTGGGCAGTAGAGAGCCGGGACACTGACGTTAGCGGGCGGCTGTGGCAGAGAAATGGTGACCGCAGAACCAGAGACCGGCAGGACCAGAGTGGGGGCTTTCCAGCCCATGGATTGAGAAAGTCAATCCTGTCTGTAGGAGGGGGCTTGCTGTTTGGGGAACAGGTTGCCTGCAGGTACTGACTGGCAACCCCTGGAACTAGCTGAGTACGGCTTTCTTTCTTGGCAGAGTGGAGTGCCTGTGGGCATTTATTGGCAGTGCTGAGAAAAACACTGTGACACTTGTCCAAACTGCAGAGGCCAAGGGGCCACCCGCTGGCCCAGAGGCCAAGAGCATGCACGGAAAGATATGTTGATTATTTTTACACATTTGCAGACCGATACACGTAGTGCAGTTCCATCTTGGTGAAAAACTAAAGGCAGATGAGACACCTGCTTACTTCTCTGTTTCTGTGAGCCCAGAGAGGCAGGGGGGCACTGCGAGGGAGGCTGTGTGCTTGCATGGATCCGGGGATGAAGAAGACCAGTGTTCCTTATGCATCCCTCTATCACCGAGACTTCTCACAGCAAGTGCATGTCACCAAGCGCAACCAACATTTCAGGGGAAATCTACCTGCGTGTACGTTTCCTGTAATACGTACACCTGGAATCTCTTTTCCAGAATCAACCTGAAGGTCTGACTTTTATGGGAAGGAAGTGAGTTCAAGTCCAGATTGGGCTACCTCAGAAGGGGCCTTCATTTACACTTCATTGTAACCAGTCACACTGATAGATCTGCTGCTAACCAAAGGCTGGGGGTTTGCGTCTCCCCGGAGGCGGACCCTCAGAAGAAAGACCTGAGGGTCTTCTGAACGTTCATCTGTTGATAACGGGACCACCATTCTTCTCCGACACACATGGTCTCTCAGGAGTCTAAACCTCCCCGCTCGCCCCATTTGTTGTAATCCAATCAAAATTGTGTCAGGAGAACATTGTTGGGCCTATATGTGTGGAACCATAGGAAACACTTAGAGCTCATTTAAAGAATAAAATGTAAAAATTTTAAGAAAAGCCACATGAATAATTAACGGGCTATTCAAAAACACTAAAATGGGGTTACATTGTATCTCAGAACCTAATGCGTTAAGACACCAGCACCCGAGGTCCCCTGCTTTGAGTTTCCTTTTGTCCCATCTTTACTTTGACCATTCAAGCTGGTGTTCACTAACACCACGGCAGCACCTGGTGGCTCAGTGTTGGGCTGCTCACCACAGGGACCCGTCAGCCCCTCCGTGGGAGCACAATGAGGCTTTCTGCTCCCTTACGGATTTGCAGCTTGTGTTAGTCTGGGTAGACGAGAGAAACAAATCCATGGACACATGTGTGTATAAGAAAGAGATTTATATACAAGAGCAATTGAACATTCAGAAAACATCCCAGCCCAGTCCATCCAGATCAAGTCCATAAGGCCGACATTAGCCCATATGTCCAACGGCAATCCATAAAGTCCTCTTCAGACTCATGAAACACCTGCAATGATGCTGAATGCAGGACGATCACAGGCCAGTGGATAGAAAGTCTTTGGATCCAGTGGCGTTGTGAGCATCTCAGTGCTGGCAGGGGTCTCTCTGTGGCTTCTCCAGCTTCTGAGGTCTGGTTGCATCCATGTGGCTTGTCTTCTGCAGTGTCTCCCAGGGAGCAGAGAGAGAGAGGTGTCTTCCGCTTCCAAGGAGGAAGTAGCAGATTTCCCAGAATGCTCAGGAGAAGGCCATGCCCACAGAAGTCCCATTGGCTATCTCCAGATTGACAACCCAGACTCCACCCCGACACTCTTAATCCTTAAATTGACACCAGATTAGGTGACTACCATACAGCTCCAGAAACCCACAGGACCAGCTCACCTGTATCCCGTGGGGTTGCCAGAAGTTGGAATTGACACTCAGGCAGTCGCGTTTTGCTAGCACAGTAGTGGTCACAGCTCAACTTGTAAATTCTCACGGTGATCTTATTTCCATGCAGGAGACTATTTGGTGGCAATTGAGGAGAAAAACAAAGCCACGTTTCTCCGGGCTTATGTGAACTGGAGGAGCAAAAGGACGGAAACCTCCCGCGTGTGCGTCCGAATGGTCGGGCACCATGGGGAGGCGCCTTTCAGCGAGACCTTCAGGGACCAGCTGTCCATCATCGAGATGCCGCTGTCCGAAGCCCCCTCGTGCGTTTCCTGTTGCCCTGGGAGTGGAGACCTCCTCGTTGGCTGCACGGATAAGCTGGTCTTATTCCGCCTGACTTATCAGGCGGTTAACGAGGACTTCTCCATACTGGACTTTGAACGTTCATTAATTATACACATAGGTAATATCGCTCCTCTAGAGATTTCTTTCTGTGTTGGCTATGTCGCTGTCATGTCAGACTTAGAAGTCTTGGTCCTGAAACTGGAGTCAGACCCGCAGAATGGTGGCAGCATTCATCACCGGCCACCGAGGACCAGCGGCAGTCCAAGGAAACGGGCAGAGGAAGGTAAGTGATGAGTTTAACTTGCTCTCTTGGTTACGTGTCGAGAAAACCCTAAGCGCTGACAGTCTTTGAAGGGCTCCCCCTGAAAGCATGGTGCTGAGCCCTGGTGGCCGAGTGGGTTGCTCCTTTGGGCTGCTAACCTTAAGGTCAGCAGTTCAAAACCACCAGCTGCTCCACCAGAGAAAGATGAGGCTCAGTACTCCTGTAGAAGAGTAACAGCCTTGGAAGCCCAGGAGTGTCCAGTCTTACAAGGGTTGCAATGAGTTGTCCTTGACCTGAGGGCAGCGAGTTTGGAGTTTTTGGTGCAAACTTTATTGCCGATTGGTTTATTATTCCTGTAACACAGGATTTGGGTTAATTATCTGTAGCATGTAAATGCGACTCTCCACATGGTTTTGTCAATTAACCCCACCTCCGAGCTTCATCTTCCTCATGGACAAACCATAGCCATCGCCCCTGACCTTTTGCACTTTACGGATGGAATGCAAAGAACTGGTGAGAAGTTAAGATTTCTCAAAACCATGGTTCCTTGAAACTCTCAGAGGAAGGAGAGTGTGTGTATAAATAAGTACCAGACCCGCGTGCTTATTTCATCGTTGGAGGGCGCGGCGACTCGTTTCCATTCCAGCGGATCGCGCGTGACACCGTCCGACTGAAGCTTTTGTTTCTTTAGTCATGAGCAGTGACCCTTCCCAGCTTGACTCAGATGATTTCGTCATGTGCCTGAAGCCCACGGAGCTTCTCGGTGACAAGAGCCGGCAGTCCGGGGTGTGCGTGACGCTGGAGTCGACGGGCTTAGCCGAGGCGAAGAGAAAGTACTTCCATGTTCAGCACCTGCTGTACAGGTATTAGAAAGCTTTTTGCCACCGGTGTGTAATCTGTGTGTACCTGTTGGAAGTCTGTGGAAATTAGAGCTCCTCTTCACCCTCCGTCCAACCCACAGACGCTTCACGCCTGACATTTCCTCGTACGTCTCGCCTGACGACATCAAGCTGCATTCCCTCCAGCTGCTGCCTGTTTACCAAGCGGGCACGTCCGCCAGGGCTGCGGGGCCGGGAGGTGAGGCGCCGGGGAGTGGAGACAGACCCCTAGGGGCAGGGGGTTTGGTTCCTGCACTGAGTCTCCCTTTGGCCATTGGACAGGTGCCCCTCAGCAAATGCACTGTGGCACCAGAAACAGAAGTCGGGCGATCGTGGGAGACTGTCCGGCACACAGACCGCCTCTCCTTTTTCGAAGGGCCATTAGACTCGCTGAGGGAAATCCTTTGTGGTTGACTGAGCTTCCACGGGGGTTCCTGGGGTCGTCTTGCGATGGCCTCGTGAGCAAGGGGGAAGATGTGGACTGACTGTCCTTAAAGCAGTGGATCTCCGCCCTGCTGCACACTGGGCACTCTTCCAAACACTGGTGTCCAGGCTCTACCTGCTAGAGATTCTCACTGAACCGGTCAGT